CTACTACTACTACTACTACTACTACTACTACTACTACTACTACTACTCTACTTCAAAGTCAATTCCTAGCAGTTGGTTCTATATGCCATCACTTGTTATCTCCTCAGGATACTTGATCACATATTCATTCCTTCCATCTCTTAACATTTTCAGTGTCATCCTCTCTACTGGTTCTTTCCCTCTTTCTATTAATGTGAAAAATCCCCCATCTTCTTGGAAAACTTCAATCCATCAGTAAATATTTAAATAACTGTTAAGTGCTAGGCATTTTTAGACTTTGGAGATTCAAGTGCAAAGAATGAACAATCCCTATTTGCAATGAGCTTACATTCTAATGAAGGAAACAAGTACATATAAAAATATATACAGTATAAATATAAAGTTAATAAATAGTCATCATTGACAGTAGTTTTGTTCTGTAAAGTAACATGAAGAATGAATTAGGGGAAATACAGGGTTAGGTTCTTGCAACCTCTGGTCACAGCATTTTTGTCAGCAGATCAACATGGAGCCTTGTTTTATATGTGTTTCTGTTTAAAGACACCTTTTCAAATACATATTTCTTACAAAAATTATATGTCAATTTCCTCTTCCTTTTTCTGGATGTAGTCTATTGTTGATTCATTAACATTGAACTCCTGGCCAACAGCGCTGTAACTCATGCCTGAACAAAGCTCATCTAACACGTGTTTTCTTCATACGGCATATCACAACCTTCTTGTGCTTAGAACACTAGATGGCACTTAAGCACTTTGTTGGGGGTGGGTAGGGGGCATTTTAAGCAGTGAAATCACCCACACAATGCATAAAAATGCAAAAAAGGACAGACTGAAGGAAGGACATTTTGTTTAAAGTATGAGAGCAGAAATAAGAAGATATTTCACCTGCCTGCCAGCCCATGTACTCACCACCTTCCAAGAACAAAGTACTCCATCCTAATCATTTTGTTGTCCTCCTCTATTAGCATGTAAGCTTTTTGGGTGCAAGGATGGTCTCTCTTTAAAATACTTTTTATCTCCTACACTTGGCACAGTCCCTGGCATATAGTAAGTACTTAGTAAATGATTTTTCACAGATATTTCAACAGACTTTTCAAAAATCCTCATTCCCTTTGACCTCTCTCTGTAGTTTTTCCACTGAAGGATCACTACTTCCTTAAAAGTGTTTCCTATGGGTTTCATTTAGCTTTTCTGGGAGCTCCTTGGAAGCATCCTCTTTCTTCCAACTCTTAGCCTTTCTTGTTAGTCCTTTGACTTCTCTGCTTATTTCCCTAAAGAATTCATTTAGCTTCAATTATTATTTCTTTGCTGACTAATTATTTAATCTACATATCTAGTCAGTCCTGACCCACTGAATGGATCTCTAATCTCATTTAAACATGTCTACAGAATATTTTTACTTAGATATGCTACTAAAAATGAAAATCAGTTTATATACCAACTCCATAATCAATTTGTTTTTCTCATATTTTACTCATTCACCCTCCTTTCAAGAAGCTTACATTCCATTGGGGATGTAGTATTCAAAATACATATACAAAAGGAATAGTTAAAAAAGAGAGAGAGAGAAATGATAAACCACTGAGGAAAGGCTTTCCAGAGGAACTGTACCTGAGCCAAGCCTTGAAGGAATGAAAGAATGAGAGACAGAAATCGTTAGAAAGTACATTCTAGGCAAGGAGAACAGCCTTTGTGAATGCACTCAGGCAAAAGATGGGTAGAGTGAGATTTGGGAGATACTAGTCTAATTTGGATGGAACATAGAATATGTGAAGGGGAGTAGTATGAAACAAGACTGGAAAGGTAGAAAAGAGCCTGATTATAAACGGTTTTGAATGCCAGGCTAATAAATTCATATTTTATCCTAGAGGCAATGGGATGGACACCATTGAAGATTTTTTAACACAAATGACATTCATATGCTTTAGGAAGCTTATTTTAGCAAATATGTGGAGAATGAATTAGGGAAAGAGACTGAAAACAAGGAGACTAATCAACTAATAGTCTGAGAGGTGCTAAGGGTCTGAATTACGGTGGGGGCTATGGAGACAAGGGGACATAATGTGATTGCTACTATAGAGGTAAACTGACAAGATTTGGCAACTGACTAGATCCAGTTCAAATATTAATTAAGTTCCAGTGATGTGCAAGGCACTCAATACAAAGACAAGATTAAAAACATTCCCTTTAAGGAGCTTATATTCTACTGGAGAAATACAACATGTAAACAAATAAGTACATACATGATAATTTGAGGAGGAACAAGATGGCACTAACAAGGAGATCAGGACAAACTTTGAGCAAAAGGAGAAAGAATAATCAAAGTAGACTCCAAGGTTACAAACCTAGGTGACTGGGAGAATGGTGATGCCTTCAACAACAAAAGGGAGATTTGGAGGAAATACATGGAGGGAGAGATGAATTACATTCTGCACATACTGAGTTTGAGATATTTATGGCACATCCAACGGGCAATTACTGATGCATCACTAGAGGTTAGGTGAGAGGTTAAGACTGGGTATAAGACATAATATTTGAATCCATAGGAACAGAGAAGATCAAGGGAGAGAGTGGATTTAGTAAAGACATTATTAGTAATTTTAAGGAAAGCAATTTCAGTGGGGTGGTGTGGTCAAAAACCAGATTGCCAGGAATTGGGAAGTAAACAGGTGATAAGGAAAGGAAGGCAGGAAGTGTAGGGGATTCTATCTAGGAATAATGCAGTGAAGTGAAGAAAAAAGAAAGGTGGTAGCTTGAGGGGATGGCAGAGTGAAGGGAGATATTCTTAAGGATGGGTAGGACCTGAGAATGTTTATAGGTAGTAGGGAACAAAAGGGAACAAGAAAGAGAAAGGAATAATCAGGATGAGATGGAATGAAGAGGCAAAGTCCTAAAGGAAACAGAAGCTGATGAGATCAAGGGTACAACTAGAGGAGACATACATTAAAAAAATAAAAGTGAGCAAGAATATCAAAGGACCCACTGAAAAAAAGCTGATGGAAGTAATCCTGCACTCTTGGACTTTAAAACATACTATGCACTTCTGCCAGGATAGCTCCCTGAATGAGAGTCAGGCCATCTCTAGTTCCCATGTACCCACTCTAGCAATAGCCCTGAAATTTATTCCAAACAAAATAATGATTCAAAAACCCAGTGAGAGACTATAGTTACTTTTCCCACCCCTGAACTACACAAAAAAATAAGCCAAAAGTTCACAAGCAATGGGAAAGAAGGCCCATCCAGCAAAGTCAGTGCCAGCACAGGGTAACTTCCCCAAGGTGATCAGAGACAATACACACGTGGCCTGAAAGGCTTTGTGTCTACTGGCAACAAAAGTGGAAGGCTCCCTGAGAAAATTCCAAAATGGTCAGAAAGTCCTTGGAAGCCTCAGGCAATGTCAGTGACCAGCAACCAGTATGTTGCAATAGAACTCAGACCATTGTGCCCAACGTCCAGGAACTCTCAGGTCCCTAACATTCTGTCTTGCCATGGCCTTGAACATCCAGCACGATGAACCTAAAAATCTGCTTAGAGGGAGTCAATATTGGGAAGCAGAGGTCAGCACAGGACCCCAGGGGACTCAGGGTGAGACCAAACAAAAGCAGAGCAGGGAGCAGAGTCTGGCCCTGGCACAAAGTCCCAATTTAGAAACTAAAGCTGGCGATATGAGTAACTCAAAGAAAACAGCAGTATGAAAATTTTTTGCAAATCTAGAGATGTCCCCAAAGAAGCAACTCCATGACAACTGAAAGCAGAGACACAAAAGAAAAACGAGGTTCCAAAATTTATTTGGCCTACCAGCCCCCTTCTAAAAAAATTACTTAGTGCCCCCCTGGTGTTAGGTTAGGTTAAACCTTATTTTTATTCAACACCCCATAATTGCACCTGAGGCTATTACTGCCCCCCCATTGTTCCAGAGCCCCACAGGGGGCAGTATCACCCACTTTGGGAACCTATGGACTACATGAACACCTAGAAGAAATGAAGAGATAAATTAATTAAAAGCTCTGGATGAAAGAATTGGAAGGAAAATAAGTAGCTTAGAAGAGAAAGTGATAAACATCTTACGAATTAGACTCCCTGAAAATTAAAATAGACCAAACAGAAGTTAATGATGGCATGAGATAGCAAAGAATATTAGGGGAAAAAAATTAAAAATAATAGAAGAAAATATAAGATAACGATACAAAGAAAACAACTGGCCTAGGAAACAGTTCAAGGAGAAATAATTAAAGAATCATTGGATTGCTGGAAAACCAAGAGTTAAAAATAAAAGCCTGGACATTATATTTCAAGAAATCAGAAATAAAAACTATCAATATCTACTAGAACCAAAGGGCAAAATAAAAAATAGAATCCACTGATCATTGCCTGAAAAGAACCCTAAAAGGAAAAGCCCCCTTTCCCTCACCCCCAGGAATATCATAGTCAAAATCCAGAGTTCCCATATCAAGGAAAAAATAATGCAAGCATCCAAAAAGAAGGAGTTCAAATGCCTAGGAACCTCCTACAGTCAGGATCACACAAAGTGAACAAGTTTACACAAAGTAAACAAGATCTTAGAATACAGTATTCTAAAGAGTGAAATATATGAGCTTACAACAAAGAATAACTTACTCTTCAAAACTGAGTATAATCCCTATGGAGGGAAAATGAATCTTTAATAGAATAGAAGACTTTCAAACATTTTTGATGAAAAGACCAGAGCTGAATAGAAACTCTAAAATAAAACCCCAAGAGGCCAGAGAAACCTAGAAAGGTAAATGTATTTGTGTAACTGGAAAAAGCTGAATAATGATGCAGTGATCACATCCCAATAAAGACAGAAGAAACAAATGGCCTCTCAGAACCTTAATGTCTTCACAGGGTATTGGGGAAGTTAAAAGAAAACAGATCCTGGGAGTGGACTGGTTCTGTTTTGAGGGTTTGAAGAGACAAACAAGAAAGGAGGATGAAAGGACATGAGGATAAAAGACAACATAGAAGAAAGGAGGAAAAAGAGGTGGAACTTCATAATTGGGTTTTGTTGTTCAATCCTATCTTACTTTTCGTGACCTCATTTGGGATTTTCTTGGCAAAGATACTGGAGAGGTTTGACATTTGCTACTCCAGCTCATTTTACAGATGAAGAAACTGAGGCAAATAAGGTTAAGTGACTTGTCTAAGGTCACATAGCTAAGTGTCTGAGGCCAGATTTGAACTCAGGAAGATGATGAGGATTCTTCACTCCAGGGCCAGCACTCTATCTACGTGCCACCTAGCTGCCCTGCATAATTGGGTTACATCCCAAAAAAGTATACAAACATGGAAGAAAGGATAGGAGGAGTTGGTGTCAAATGAAATTCACTTTTAACTGAAATAGACAAAGGAGTGTTGAATACACACACAAACACAAATAGTTTGATGTAGAAATACATCAAACTCAACAAACATCAAATGACTGGAAAACCAGTAGGGACTGGGGCAGATGAGGGGGAGGGAAATATAGTAAGAGGAAGGATAATACTAGAGAGGGAACAGTCACAAGCAAACAAACTTGCTGATTCTGAAGAGGGGCTTAAAAAGGATAAAAAAAAGTTAAGGCACCCCATTAGATTCTAGTTCTTTTCTTAACTTTTTTTACCCCTTTCTTACAAGAGCAATTTTGTTTACAGTCTTATGTCTCACTAAATAACTTCTATATCAAGTTCTATAATTCTTTAAGTCTCACTTTACAATATAAACTTCTCAACATTTTGGAACTAACTTTAGTCAGAATAGTTTATCACACCTATCCTTAAAATGGCTTACCGTGAATGTTAGCTGAAGAGTTGCTTGTAGCAATGTTTTTCCAGTTGTTGACATACCTAGGCACACAATAACATATATTTAGAAAAATAAATCAATAAAGAAACAAATATTACTTGTATTTTTATTACTGTTGAGGGCACCAACATCCTTCCCATCACTTAGGTTCAAAATTATCAGCATCATTCTTGACTCCTCACTCTAATTCATTCCAAATATGCATTAAGTTACTAAATCTTGTCTTTTTTTTCCCCTCCACATTCTTTGATATATTTGCCCTTCTCTCCACTTACATAGCTATAATCTCAGTTCAGTCCCTCATTACATCTCTCCTCAACTATTGCAATAGCCTCCTAATTTGTTCTCCCTGCCTCAATTCACTCTCCACTTTAATATTTCCTTCACACAGCTGCCCAGCTGAAATTCCTAAAATAGATCTTAGAGTGTGAGCTCCTTGAGAGCAGGCACTGTATTTTAGCCTTTCTTTGTAACCCCAATGCTTTGCATCTGTCTGGCACAAAACGAGTACCTGAAGCTTACTGACTGACTCTCCTACCTACTCAGTAAATTCTAAAGGCTCCTTAATTACTTCCAGGATCAAATACAGACATCTCTTGGTATTTAAAGACCTTGATGACCTGAGCCCTTCCTATCTTTCCCATTTTCTTCTGCATTATTCTCCTTCATACACTCTCTATTCTAACCATACTATCCTACTTGGTGGTCTTTTTCTTTGTACCTACAACTCAGAAATTGTTACCAACACAGGAAAAAAAAAACACTTAAAAAATAAATTTCAAAGGATCATCTATTTGCAGTTATCATTGTTATGCTAGGTATTATTAATAATAACTCAGGGATCTATGAAATAGGAAAGTGAACAGCTGTAGTGGGAACCTCTTCTATACCCAAATAGTCAGCAAAATTCCTGGTAGCATTCTCCTCTCCTTTCCCACTAAAAACATTCTGAGAGGTACTAGGTTACCATTAAGCTTGTTGGAACAAGGTAGATTATTGGTTTAAAAAATATTCTAATGAACAGGCTGACTTCAGAAAAACCAGGAAAGACTTGTATGGTCTGATGCTGAATGAAGTGAGCAGAACCAAGAGAATGTTGTACACAATAACAGCCACATTGTGTGATGACTAATATTGATAAACAATCCTTCCCAGCAATACAAGGATCTAAGACATCTCCAAAGGCCTCATGATGGAAAATGCTATCCACATCCAAAGAAAGAACTATGGAATTTGAATGTAGATCGAAGCATACTATTTGCTATTTTTTTTCTCTTCTGTTGAGTTTTGTTTTCTTTTTCTGGTGGCTCCTCCTATTGGTTCTAATTTTTACCTACAACATCACTAATGTGAAAATATGTTTAATAGGAATGTGTATGTATAGCCTATATCAGATTGTGTGCTGTCTTGGGGAGGGAGGTGGGGAGAAAAAGGGAGAAAAATTTTAAACTCAAAAGCATATGGAGGGGCAACTAGGTGGTGTAGTAGATAGAGTACCGGCCCTGAAGTCAGGAGGACCTGAGTTCAAATCCGGCCTCAGACCAAACACTTGACACTTACTAGCTGTGTGACCCTGGGCAAATCACTTAACCCCAATTGCCTAAAAATTAAAAAAAATTAAAATTAAAATTTTTAAAAAGCATATGAAAGTGATTGTTGATAAATCAAAATATATTAAAAAATATTTAAAAAATTTTCTAAAGCATCTAATGCCTCTTCTAAATGGAGATTTTTTCAGTGTTACAACACTCCTAATATTTGTTTTATTCTTTCATTTCTTAATTTAATGAACACCAAAAAAGAACATTTCCATATACAAAGTAGACCAGAAAAAGAAGATTTCATGTGAATCTGCAAATCTCTATTATGTAAAGCTTGCTTTAAAAACCACATATATAATAAATTCAATATGTCAATTTCAAAATTGCCCTGCTAGCCAGTGTTTCTTTCTGAACTTCCTTTTGACCTCTGTGCATTTATAAACATGCTTCAATGACCCTCTTTCTTTTCTTCTTTTTTTTTTTTGACGGTTCTATCATATGCTTCACTTTTCTTCCTAAATCTCTGCTTACCTCCAGAACCCATTTACAAAGGAAAAATAAGTCCTTATAGCAAATAAATATAATTAAGCCAAGTAATTAATTTGTGGCATACATTTTGCATTGTCTTTAGAAACAGTCTCGGACTCCTTATTCCAAAGTTTGGCTAGAAGGGAAAAATGCCTGATCACACTGAGTTCTACTCCCTTTCTCACATAAATCGTTATACCCCCAATCTCTAAAACAAACAAATACAATACAGGAAAAAGAATGGAAAGCCTGATATAATCAGCTCATCTGCTGGAACTCATTTGAATTCTTCATCTTCCAGCCTTTGAAAATTAGGGAAAAGATAGTTGTTTGATTAAAAACATATTAGTAATACATATCCCTGAATGTATTTGATTTATCAAGCATCCATGTTTTCTGCAATTAAATTTTTGTAGCACCTAATATATGTCCATTCTATGAAAGTATTCGGGAAATTGTTATTAAAATAATAATGATGAAGTGAAATATTTTCTAACTACATGCAACTGTTTTAAAATAACTTATAATTATTATTATTTTTTAGCATGTTGGCCTTTGGCCTGACCACAGTTTGCTTTAGGTACAGCAAAATAATCCACATCTTCTAGAATCATGGCATCCCAGAATTGAAAGGGTTCATCGAGTCCAACTCTTGCCTTAGCATGAAATCTAACTATGATATCCCTGACAATGAGTCATTCAGTCTCTGCTTGAACACTTCCAGGAATGGGGACCTCATTATCTCACCAAGCAACTCATTCCATTTTCAAGCTTTAATTCTTCCTTCTATTAAATATACTCTTCAAGCACTTGTGTTTTCAGTGTTGTTATTTCACACATTATTATTAAATCAATCAATAAACATTTATTACGTACATATAACATGTCAGGAAATATGTGAAGAGCCAATGATACAAAGACAAAATTTTTTTAAATTCTTGCCCTCATGGAGTTATTAGCATTATAATTTAGGGGAAGCAACATGCACATATGTAAACATACATAATGCAAATATAAGGTAATTTTAGGGAGGAAGCACTAGCAGGGGGATCAGGAAAAGCTTCATGTAAGAAGTGACATTTAAGCTGAGTTCTAAAGGTTGCTAAAGATTTTCAAAGGTAGAAGTGAGAAGCAAGTGCATTCCAGGTGTAAGGGGCAGCCTGGAGATGGAGATGGAGATCAGCATGGAGATGGAATGCTGGGGATGAGGAAGAGTAAAAAGGCCAGGCTGGCTAGATTATAGAATGCATGAAAAAGGGTAATGTCTATCAAGGCTGGAAAAGAAGGCTGGAACCAGGTTGAGAAGGGTTTAAGATGCTAAATACAGGAGTTTGCATTTTTAGCTAGACGTAATAGGGAGCTACTGGAGTTTATTGAGTAGGGGATCAGACCTTTACAAAAATTACTTTGGAAGTTGTGTGGGGGATAGATTGTAGGCACAGAAAATAATTAGGAGGCTATCATAATCATCCAGGTGAGAAGTAATGAGAATTTGAACTGTCACGTGAGAGGAGCAAAGGGAACAGATGAGACAGATTTTGAGGAGGCAGAACTGACTAGACCTGACAAAGGAATGGGTATGTCAGGTGAGTTGAGAATGACTCCAGCGCTGGGCATGGGGCTGCTGAAGATTTCTTCTTGAGGTCTAGGCTGGCTAAATTTACAAAGGCTCATCACTAGGCTGGCTTTAGAGGGATGGACTTTTCAGGAACCTTCAAGAACTTTCAACTTTCAAAAGGGCTGCAATATGTGTCAGTATCAGGAGTACTCGCACTGAGGTGATCACAGATCCCTGAAGTAAAATACTGAAATAAAGGGTGAAATATGAGCATGAATTTAATTGAGATAGGACATCACTACTGGAAACTGAGTCCCTGTTGTCTATACTGCCTCCTAATCCCAACCCAGGAAGTGATCAGAGGGGCACTGGGTTAGGCTACTGTTTCTCATGGTTTTGTGAGGAAGTGCCTTAGGCAGCAACAGATCAGCTTTTAGGGGCAGCAGAGGGGTGAGAACTCAGGAGGCTGAGAACTGAAGTTCAGTTGTGGTTGTTGACCCCTTTCCACACAGGCTTTCCCTCATAGGCTATAGTCCCATTGCTGGCAACACCTCATCCAGTGACCATGAGAAGGAAACCCCAGAAAAGCAGTTGCAGCTGCCTTTCACAATACTAAAATGGGATGGGGAAAGAACGAAGGGGAAGAGCTAGAGGCCAGTGTGGCCTCAGAACATTTGGGACAGGGCTGGCCTGGATGGAATGAAAATACTGAGGAGAATTCTGTAACAGGATCTTTTGGTGGCCCCACACCACTTTCAGAGAGAATCCCTGGTCTATTTCCTTTCCATAGACTCCTTCCCTTCATCTACACTCAATCTAATCCAGAAGTTAAGGGTAGAAGTGTCAGTGCACCCATAGAAAGGCAGCATTGGGTCTTAAAGGTTTATTTATCAGAGCTCTTCCTAAAAATCCCTCATCCTTTCTAAACTGGTAAAATCTTTCCCCATATCTTGTGTTCTCTGTCTTTTTCTTCCTCTCTCTTCCCATCCCATGATTGTGTTAGAAAAAGATATGGGGGCAGCAACTGCCACTGTGTCTGCCACTGGAGAGATCCCCAACAGCGTCGCTGGCTCTGCTGCTTTTGCCACTCCCACTGCGACCGGGATGTTGGTGTCAGGGAAGACTATATCTAAGGCACCAAGATGGGTGACAATGAGAGGGACAAAAGTGGGAGACAGAAATAAAGAGGACTGGATGCCGATCCCCTCCCCAGCATCCCCTGAGAAAGTAGCATCTACTTGCTCTTCAAAGTTGAGGGTATTTGTCCAGTTCAGAATTTCATCCACCTCCCATTCCATCACTGAGTCCATTCCACCTTCTTCAACTGCTTTTATCAATCCTTTTGTTGCTTTAAGAATTAAGTCCGTACACCTATCATCTGCTTTCTTTGTTTCCAAGCTTCCTGAATAATACCTAAGGAAAGAAAACTGATTATGAGCAGAATGATTATGACAGATAATACTGATAACTACAAGTGGTATTAAGGATCTAACATATTAGACAAAATTCTTATGCTGGATCTCTAGAAAGAAAGCAATCCAATTATCCATATAGGACTGATACTTATCACTGATCTTCACATTTCAACCTCATATCTCAGTGAGTTATATCCAGGAGTGTCTTGGTAAATGTTTAACAAGTGGCTCTCTGGGGGAAAAAAGTGTACACATGGCACACTTTTAAATTTAACCTCTTTTATTTACATTTTCTCCATCACTGTCTTAAGTCTAAATTGACAATCAACAAACAAATCAAGCTCTAATTTGTACTATTTGCTGATTTCTGAAGTGTAAATACTTATACTGAAAATTTAATAATTGGCTCACTGAAGCCTGGTCCAAGGTGGCTCCAGCACACCACTGGTTAAATCATAAGATTACAAGGAAAAATAAAGTCGTTAGATAATAGAATCAGGGGATTTCAGAGCTGGAAAGGATCTTCACTTTACAGATATGAAGCTCACATAGTTGATGACTTGCCCAAAATCTCACAGGTAGCTTTTGTTCTATATTATTTACATATGCATAAATGGGGCAGCTAAGTGGCACAATATGCCAGGCCTGGAGTCAGGAAGACTATAAAATAAGCTGGAGAAGGAAATGGCAAACCACATCTTTGCCAAGAAAACTCCAAATGGGGTCATGAAGAGTCAGATGCAACTGAAAAACGACACAACAAAATGCATAAATACCATGCATCCAATCCAATATTGGCCAATGGCAGAAAGAAGTTAATAGTTCTGAGCCAAAAGTTTGGTTCTTATTATTTTCCACATAGGTATTTATTTTCAATTTAAGATGTTTAGTGGTAGCCAATTCATTCTGAAACACAAGAATAATGCTAGGTCACTTTCTAAATAGGATATGCTCAACAAGAGGAGATATGTTTTAGAGGGCCAATAGCAAATTTCTTAAACTATCTTCATTGTAAGTTAGCAAAGGAAGTATGATTTCACATTTTTCTATACATTTTAGAGAACAATGTGATCAACTCTAATGTCTGGAGAGGCTGGCAGTACTTTCATGCTTGGGGCAAGGTCTCTATGGTCAAGTCTCTGCAATCAATCTGAAGAGGGACCTACTGACCCAAAGCTATTAAAATTCAGTCCATATCTGAACTACAGTACAGCTAGAAATTACAAAACATGAGGGTAGGGGCTCTGATCAATGCAGTGAGCAATTATGACTTCAGTGACTGATGATACTTGATAGTAAAGCAAGTAGGAAATGAAGGATGTACTTTTCAGACATGTATTAATTTGTTTTACTTAACTATACTTTTTTTCCTTATAAGGGACGTTTCTTTGGGGGGAGTCACTGGGAAGTGACAATGATATTTTAAAAAATAATATCAGTAAAACATTTAAGAAACAAATGCCGGAGCACTTTTTGGAATGATCAGCCCTCACACATACTTGAGCTCAAGATCAGGTTTAACTACTGAATGATCATCTTCTAACACTCAGAAAATAATACACAAAAAGTCTAGTACCTTTTTTTCTTTGGTAGGAGAGTATGACATGGTACATTGTGTTGATAAAAGAGAGTATTGATAATGAACTATCAAAGTGAGGTTGTTCAAATAATTTAGTATTTGGTACTTAGTATTTAGTATTCAAATACTAAAACATTTGAACAACTTGTGTTTTGAAACAATTATAATCAGTTAACATCTGTCAAGCACTTTGAAAACTTTAAAGCCCTATGACAATACTCCTGCTACAGCTCTTATCGAAAGCTTTCTTCACATTGCTTGTAGTAAGTAATACTATGAGATACGAAAAGGGACTGGATCTCTTATTCATTGGTGAGAACATTCCTTTATCCATGCAGAAGGGCACAGCTTTTTTGAAGAGCTGTCTAGAGCCCAGAGAACTTGAACTTCCCACCATCTCACTTCTTGGCCATACTGCCTCTGCAAGGAATACTACAATACTAAATATTGGTAGCAGCAGTTAAGCAGTTAGGATATCATGAATACTGCACTTTGCTTTTATTTCTGCAAATACAGAAATCATTTGAACTGTACATTGGTCAGAAACTTTTTTTAAATTTTTCTAAAGAAATAAATGGTTATCCTTAAGATGAAAAATAAACCTTAAAAAGTTAGAAATTTCAATTGGAAAAACAAGACAAATTAATTGAAAAAGGATTCTATAGAAATTGTTGCATGATGGGGAAAAAAGGCACACTTCACAGGCCTAGAGTAAGATTCAAGGTTAACTTCAATAGCAGATGGGGCAAGTGATGGTGGAAGAATCTTTAAGAGCTGAGATGTGATAGTTTTCTATTAGTAAATCTGAGGAACGGAGATGTAAAATAATTACTCTGTTACCAAAAAGATCTGGCTCCTCCTAAACAAACTAGCTCCAGTGGGGGAAGCAAAATACTCCTTGCTCCTCATTACTATTTTCAAACTCTGATGCCATTACCCTGTGACCTCTCCTCTTTTGAGATTCATTCTCTCCAAATTTATAACCCAGTTCAGATCCTGGTGGCTATCTACTGGCCGCAGTAGTTAACAGCAGGCTATATAAGCTGGTTGGCAACTAGGTGGCACAGTGGACAGAGCACTACATCTGGAGTCAGGAAGATCGGAGTTCAAATTTGGCCTTAGATACTTAGTAGTTGTGTGACCCTGGGCAAGTCATTTAACTTTTGTTTGCCTGAGTTTCCACAATTGTAAAAAGGGAGTAGTAATATCACCTAGCTCATAAGATTGTTATGAGGATCAAATGAGATATTTGTAAAAGCACTTAGTACAGTGCCTGGCACAAAACAGGTGCTATGTAAATGTCCTCTTCCTTTCCCTTCCCTTTCTTTCTCTTCCCTTATGGAAGTCATATTATTTGCTTTTTCAAGGAGCTCAGGACTTGGCTCATAGTCTTCCTCTCCCCAATTCCTGCCTTCATATCGAGAACTTCAACATATGTGTTGATGTTTCCTCAAACACACTAACATCTCAATTCCTCAAGCTAATCAATTCCCCAAACCACTTATATACTACCTTAGCTACACGCAGAGATGGTCACAGCTTTGATCTTGCCATCATCAAGTGTTCATTTCCACAATCAAAAACCTGATATTCCTCTAACTGACCTAACCTCTTCTCATTCCATTTCACTTTATGCCTTACTCCTCCTAAACCTGTCTTCCTCATCCTGGCCTCCATTCCTTCAACTCTTGAAGATATTCCCAGGCTATCTATCACTCAAGCATCTACTGACCTCCTTTTCTCCTCCCAATCAACCCCTTATGAACTAGGTCAACTCTATACTTTCTTCTACTTTTAGATCCTATACTCCCATTTTTATCCCTGTTTATACCTTGTCAAAATCGAACCGTGAACTGTTCTCACCATCCATCTCCTCTCTTCAACCAACTCTTTTGTCCCATGTAGTTTTCATTTATGATTTCTTGAAATATAGCTCTGAAAAACCAAGCTTTGATAAAACCCAGTGGCATTAAAATGGAGCTACTTGCCTATCCCTTTAAACCCAAATCACTCTGGCTCTCACTAATTGGTCAATAATAGGTCCCAGCCCAAGCCTCACTTGCTCAATGTTTTGGTTTTGATGACTCAGAGTGAGTGTAAATAGCAATTGTTTCTCTTTGGGCCAGAAACTCTGAAGGTCTTCCCCTCCCTGATTGATTCCTTTGTGAAGACAAAGTAGGCCATCTTTTACCTCAATTCTTACCTAGCCTTTAACTACTGAATGATCATTGCCTCAGACAAACTGAGACCTGGGAAAGACCTTAGCTTAAAAATACCAAGGTCTCCCATTGCATCTGGGGCCATCACCAGCTGTCCTGACCTATGTCTTGCCACTGGACTCCAATGACTCTGGAGGAGACAGTGGGGCTGATGATTTTGCTCAGCTCTGCCTCACTTAAATCCAATTCACTTGCAAGTCAAGACATCACCCTCCTGATGTCATTGGTCTTCGAAAACAAAGAAGGAACAAGACAATTCTGATAACTTACTGCTAAACAGAACTGGATAAAATCACATAATTAGCTCTCTATCCACTGTACCACTAGCTGCCTAAGAGTTGCGTGCCAACTATACACCAGGCCCTATGCTAAGTGTGCTATAGCTATCTATTTTCTACATAGATACACAGGTATATACTATTTCCTCCATTAAAATGTAAACTCCTGGAGGCCAAGAACTATATATTTCCTTCTTATCTGTTTATCATGGGGGCCTACCACAGTCCCTGGCACATAGTGGGTGTTTAATAAATACCTGTTGATTTAATGATTGAAGTATGGAAAAATTAGTCTTCTGTTTTAATTATACTTCTACTAGGAAGAACTAGATGGAAAAGTCTTTAAAGGACAATGATAATACTTACATAAAATATAAATTCCTATACAACTGTAAGACCCTTAAAAGAAAAATAAAAAAAAATAAAAGAAATAAAAATTAATGCTACTACAATAATGAAATAAAGGTCACACATAATTTTGAAGGAATATAGGATAATGGAAATTTCAAAAGAAATGAAAGATCATTTGTGTGCATAGGTTCATCTTTATATAATCACAGATATAATTAGATATGCTAGAAGTATAAGAGTAATCTTTCATATTAAAAGATTAATTTTTTAAAATGTAGATGTTACAAGGAGCAAAGTATGCACTTTTGTAACAGGAGAGTGGCCTATTATGGAACTCAGATTGATCGCGGATAATTATTAAACCTACAAAATGATATTCAACAGTTTTATTATTAATAGCCAACCTCCACAAAAAATCTAAAAACTGCCACAATCATTTGTATATTGTTTACATATGTATAAGAATTTCACTACTTACATTTGCTTCATCCATCTAATTTTTTTATATTTTCTTCTTATGTCAATGTCCTGCCTTCTCTTCAGTTTGGAGAAGTGAAAGTCAATTTTTTGTTTATTTCCTTCTTCAGTGATCTCATCAGTGACTTTCCAAAACTGTTGACAAATGATATTATGAAAACACTTGTATACTATTGTCTGTGATGGTATCTGATTATGAAATGACATTTCTTTGTGTAGCAGGGACATCCCAGAGCAGAAACAGAAGGGGTCATAATACTGCCCCATATCTATCAGATCCTTTATGGCCACAAAAATCTTTCACAAATACATTATCTTGAGCCTCCTATTAATTATATGAGGTAGTTTGGGCAGGTATAGCATCTCCATTTTATAAATTAGACACTACGGATAAGAGAATACATGGAGGGGAAGAGTGTAAGAAGAGCAGAAAAATAGGAAAGGGTATGATTATGAAGGAATTCAAATGTCAAAAGAGAGCATTTTATATTGTATTCTTTAGGCAAAAAGGAACCTGTTTATTGTTTATTATTCATCTGTTTACTGAGTTGGCAACAAATTGGGGGAGGAGGGGTAAGAGAGTGAGGAGCCAGAATGACAACAAGATTGTAAGCCTGGGTGACTGGGGTGACGGTGGTGCCCTTGACACTAATAAGAAAGTTCAAAAGACGGGAGGGCTTGAGAGGAAAGAAAGCTCTATTTTGACCATGTTAAGTTTGAGTTATTATATTGGCATAGCCTAAACATGAAAAACTAATGTCCCTCCAATTACTAGAACAAGATTTTTTTTCCCTAATCTGGGAATGGTACAGTATATTTGAAATTGTACTGCCTTGGAAAATTTGAAAGGTATGGCTGCTATGTCTCTGAGCTGAGAAATATCACTATCCAAAATGATCCTTACAGAAGTGTGATTGGTATGGCTTGGTGAAAACTCACTTTATACCTCATCCTCTCAAAACTATGAAAATCCACTGCTTTTTCACCAATCATCATTGGGACTAACTCAACAACAATTCCTCATTGCCTAGACATGCAAAGCACTGTTTTAGGTGTTAAAGGAGATAGAAAGACAAAGATAAATAAGACATTCTCTTTACCTTCACTGAAGCTAATATCTAGTAAATACCACAAGATAAACCTACTTGATCTCAAGAATCCCCACATCCTGACACACAGTGAATTCAATAACATTTTCAACTTCCTTTTGTTGCAGAAATCTCATTTCACCTATCTGATGAGGTAATAAGTGCCTACTATGTTTCTGAAGGATACAGGATAGCTTAAGTTGGACTGCAGACACATCTTCTCTTAGTAAGAAAAATGAGTAAATTTAAGACTAAGATATATGACTATATCTTAAAGTGTAATCAAAGTTGCCACTAGAGTTGTTTTAAATCAATAATACTCATTGTTTAGGTCAGTAGGCAATTATATATGTTCTTGAAATCTACTGTAAAATTAAATTTCCAAAAAGACACAAAGCATATCTGTAAAATGTAAAAGAAAAATTATTATAATTTTGCTTCACTTACTCTTTTGGAAACAAGTCTCCAGCCATTGTTCTCTATACGTTTGTACCAACCATCGTGGTCATCTTCTAGATGTTTCTTATCAAATGTCAAATGTGATAGTTGCTTTGGGATAATGTTCACATAATCTCTAGGACTGTTAGCACATAGATCTACAATATGTCTGTGAGTGAAAATTTTATAATATATATTGGGAGGAAACTTCTCCTGTGATTAAAAAAAATAAATTAAAAATCCAATTGTAAGCTTACAATAAAAAGTGTTTATGCTTAAAAATAATTATCCATTTCAAATTTAATACAATCAATTAGGGAAGATTTTTGAATACTTTTAAGACTATTAGACAAAACTACTTCCATACTTACACCACCTAATCTGAATCGAATATTAATTCCAGAAGCAGCATCTAGAAGCTCTGCCTAAAAGAGAACCAAATTAACCTATCACATTTTAGTAATATTAAATAGCTTAAAATACATACCAAAATGGTTATTAACTATAATCATTTGACCAAATATGTACATATTTGTTCAACCTGAATTTGCATTATGAAAGGATAGAAAGTGAGTATGTATAAGCAAATTTTATGTAAAATTTGAAAAGCTGAGAAATAAATTACTTTCCCAAGGACAGCCAGTAAATAATAGGTTAAAATGGGAGTTCCTGAGTTTAAAAAGCCAAGATTCCTGACTTTTTTTTTTTGGTTAGGCAATTGAGGTTAAGTGACTTGCCCAGGGTCACACAGCTAGTAAGCGTCAAGTGTCTGGTCTGAGACCAGACTTGAAAGCAAGTGCTCCTGAGTCCAGGGCCGGTGCTCTATCTGCTGTGCCACCAGCTGCCCCTGATACCTGATTTCAAAAAAAATCTGCTACTTAAAAAATGCTTCTTTCCTATTGAAAATATAAGTTTGATATTCAAATTATTGCTCATAGTCACAAGTTGGAAATTGAAGATCATGGTTTTATATGTGAGAAGAGCTCACTTACAGGTAAATCCAGGGAAATGAGGTGGCTTACCAACCTAAACTGAATATCATGTGGCCTTAATTCTCCCTCTTGATTCTGTTCTTGATTAAATCCAAAATTCACATTTAAATTTTGTATGACCTATAGCACGTCTTTCATTTTAAACATACTGACAAGTAGCAATTATAAACACAATATAAATGCTAATGATTATTAATACAGGCCTTCTCATTACCCATTAAAGAAATAGTCCCAGACATATTAGGTCACCCAAGATTATCCATCTAGCTGATGGAAAAGCTGTAACTGGAACCTATGTATTGATATTGAATTCCTTTTTCACATTTAGAAAAACTGCTAAAAAAGTTGATCTCATACTTAACTCCTCTACTTCTCAGCAATTTCTGCTAAGCAATATATTATTTATAAATTTGTTGTAGTCGGGTTATTTCAGTTGTGTCCAACTCTTCATAACCCCACTTAGGGTTTTCTTGGCAAATATACTGGAATGGTTTGCCATTTCCTTCTCCAGCTCATTTTACATAAGAGGAAACTGAGGCAAACAGGGCTAAGTGATTTGCCCAGGATCACACTGCTAGCAAATATCTGAGACTGAATTCAAACTCATGAACATGAGTCTTCCTCATTCCAAGCCCAGTGCTCTAGCCACAGCACCATCTAGCTGCCCTTATAAATTTGTAGTGTATGTTTTATGTACCCTAAACTGAGACTGAAGAATATACAGAAATTTACATGTGGAATTTTATTGGTTTTGCCCATGATTGTTACAAGAAGTACAAAGCAAAACTAGTAGTTCAAAGTCATTGGCCAGTTAAAGTAATATCACCTACCTATTCACAAATATATCACATAGAATCTTGGAGTTTTAAAGGTGTTTGGCAGTCCAAGCCATACCTGAATAAGGATCCTTCTCTCAACATTCCCCCAAAATGGTCATTCACCCTGTGCTTGAAGAACTCTACTATCTGCCACCAATTGAGGCAGCCCATTTCACATCTGGATAGTTCTAATATGTAGAAAGTTCTCCTTACATCAAACCTAACTCTCTTTTTGTAATTCACACCTGATGGGGTACAGGCTCTGGAAACCCCCACCTTGAATTTTCCCACTTGATCAAGTAAGTCTCTAGCATTCAACTGAAGCTATAATTCTTTTAACTGGCCTTTCATTTATCGCCTAAACCCAATCTCCCATTTCTCTGTTACCCTTAACCTAGCCCAGCCCTCCATTTTCTGTTACCTCAGGATGGCCCCCAGCTGCTTCCCACCCTTGATCCTATCCAGACCCCATTCTACTTCCCAGTCACTCCAATCAAGATCCTCTCTAGACCTCTTTTCCCAGACCCCTCTCCATTCACTCCAAACTACTTGCCCACTCCTAGATCCCTCCCACAGTCTTTCTGTATATGAGATCCATCTTATCTCCATTAAGGTGCTCAGATTCTTAAAATCTGGCCAATGGCTGAGATTCACTCTAGCCCGCTTGTCAATTCGAGCATCACAAATGTTCAGATTCCTTAAGAGACTGGCCAATACGGCAGATCTTTAATAAACTTTGTCTTTGGCTGAAAGAAGAGTTGGGTCGAATTCATTCAGGCAGGATCTGCGTGTCGCTATTTCGGCGTCCCAGTACCCCAAAAACCCTAAACCTCAACACATCCATTTTTCTTAGTACTTCTTTTGGGAGTCAAACCAAATAACTGTGTGACAAAAACAAAAACCACTATCTTCTTTAACTCTTCTACGTTCTCCAGTTCTCTCACCATCCTACTTGCCTTCTTATGGGCACATTCCAGGTTGGCATTCCTAAAATGTGGTGCCCTGAACTGAACATAGTACTCTAGATGCAATCTGACCCAGGCAGAGCGTAACAAACTATTACCTTTCTCATTCTGGACACTATACTTTTCAATGCGATATAGGACATTAGCTTTAGAGCTGTGATATCACATAGTGATGACTCATCTTGAGTTTCCAGTAAAACTCTTAAGATTTTTTTGGAGTAACTATGCCATATTTTCATAGTACCATTCATATGAAGTTTTTTTTAAAAATTCAAGTATAGACCTACCTAGATGTATAGAGTACATCTAGAAGGTGCAGTGGATACAGTGCTGGGCCTGCAGCGAAGAAGATCTGAATTCAGATTTGACTTCAGCCACTTGCTAGCTGTGTGACTCTGGGCAAGTCACTTAACCCTTTTTGTCTTGGTTTTCTCATCTTTAAATGAACTGGAGAAGGAAATGGCAAACTACTCTAGTATCTTTGCCAAGAAAACCCCAAATGAGGTCACAAAGAGTCAGACACGACTGAAACGACTGAACTGAATAGATTTACACATTTATTTCTATTAAATTTTATCTTAGTCTATTTGGGCTATCATTCTAGTCTTTTCAAGTAATTTTGGATCTTGATTCTATAATAAAAAAATGACAGCTATCTCTCCCATTTTCATGTCACTTACAAATTTATGAAACATGCTACTAAAACCTTCATCCAAGTTATTAATAAAAATGTTAAACAAAATATGTGAACACTGATTAAATAAATAAAATAAATGACATACATCTTTAAAATATTATATATGTATACATATGGAATGTCTTTACCTCTTTAGGATCAATATATCTTAATAGTTGGCGAGGGTCCCCTTGCCTCCTTAAAAGGATTAGACTTTTGAAGTGGCTAAATACACAGGCATCCTAGAAGTTCAAATATATTAGGAATAACAATTAAAACAGCTATTTACTACTTCTGAATAGTCACTGGCTTGGGGTAAGTATAAACCATCAGATATGTTCAATGTAAACTTGTCATCTACCTATGTTTTGTTTTAACATAAATAATAAACATTTTTAAAAATGGAATTTTGCTCACTTGAGTCACAGTGCAACCAGCAGGTGTAACTATCTAATAAGGTTTAAAGATTTAGGGTGGCAAGAGAAACAAATTAAGGGACTAGCTTTTCTGTACAGCCCGTACTACTGGGCATACTAGGAGATGTGACCTTCCCTTATTCTTCCCTCCATCCTTGCCTCAGAGGCTGGTGCTGCCCTGAGATGTGGCATTCTAAGCTATAGCTGAATCCATTCTTGTAGTCTCGGAATGAAATGGTCATGAAGTCATGTGATTCATCTAACTGCAATATTCAGACATACATATATACATAAACTTTTAAAATTTATGAATAAAAATAAAAACCATAAAATTCTCTCATGATTCTAACTTGGACTCCTCCAAACCCAAATGAAACCCAATTATTTTAGAGGGAGTGAAGTACCAGCCTCTGTCCTATTTTAACTTAATGTGTATTTCCAGTTATTCACTTATATCCTCCATTGTACTTTCTTAGCAAACAACTAATGTTCAGACACGCATCACAAAAAAAGTTACAAGGAAAAAATACTCTTATGTGAAGGATATTTTCAAAAACAAAAATTAAATTAGGAGTTACAAGTAGACTGCAAATAGTTAAATGCCTGTCATCTGCAGGTGGATTCAGAGGGGAATTGACGCACTTTGCCAATTTCCTCAGTCTCTTGGAGAGAATCAGTTTGGTTACCACTCTCAGTAGGGGTTTCACTAGGTAGAGGTGGCTTGGCTTTTCAGGCCAGTACTTTCATGTCCTAATCTTAATCCCTATTCAAGAAGATATAATTGAGATCATTATTTATTATTTTGATTATTAATCTTATATCAAGAAGATAAATGTTATCTCATTTGATCCTTACAAGAACCCTGGGAGATGCATTTTATAATCCAGATGAGGACCCTGAGGAAGAGATTATTGGTTAAATGACTTGCCCAGGGTCACACAGCTGGTAAGGATCACAGGCCACATTTAAACTCAGATCTTCCTATTTCCAAGTCTGGTGCTCTATCTACTATGCCACCTAGCTGCCTAAAATTTATCCAATATTTTTAGGTTTGTTTTTTATGTATTTTGTATTGTTTTGTAATTGTATTTATATAATTATTTGGTGTGCCTTAAAGGTTGGACTCTGAGATATTTTATATATTCTGCAGTTATTCTGAATGGAATTCTTTTTCTATCTCTCTTGCTAGGTTTTGTTAGCAATATACAGAAAAGCTGATGATTTTATGGGTTACATCTTGCTATTTAACTGAAGTCACTGCTTTGACTAATTTTTAGCTGACTCTATAGGGTTCTCTAAGTAACTCATTATGTTGTCAAAAAATGATGCCTTGGGACTTCTGGGAGTCAAAGGTGGAGTAAGCAGTAAATCGCTGTAACTCCCATATTCACCTCCAAATAACTATAAAATAGTGTCCCAAAATAAATCCTGGAATGGCAGAACCAGCAAAAAGACTGGGTGAAACAATTTTTTAGCCCAAGAACTTGGAAAATTGGCAAGAAAAGTCCAACTCACTCAAATAAAAGGGGTGCATATTCCAGGACAGGAAGCATCCCAACGAACCAGTCCCACTTTAGCAAACCAGTGGGAGATCCGGAGCCCCAGTCTGATGGAGTGGGCAAATGCCAACACCAGGATCCCCCCATGCCTTATCATGGTCAGTGGAACTGGCAGATTCCAGCTCCAAGAACCACCATGTGCTTCAGCACAGCCACTGGCAAACAGGCAGCCTCCAGAATGATGAGAAAGTAAGCCAGGCCTCCAGAGGCCAGACCTCCATGTGCATCAGTGTAGCCCTAGGGAAATGCAGAAACATCCCACCAGGCCTTGGTATATGCCAGACATCACCATTAGGACCTCATCTCAGCACCAGGTAAGCTGGCAGACCCCATGGCCTCCAGCAGTGTCAGCCAACCCCCAGCCCATCCCCTCAGTATAGCACCAGATACGAGGTCCCCCAGGGGCCTCAGGACAATATCAGTGCAACACCAGGTAAACAGCCAGGGCCTGCAGCCATCGGCACAAGAAGCCTGAGACAGTGCCCTTTCCAACTCGAGTAGAGTTCAAATTTAAAAGAAAGGAAAAAGAAAAAAAATAGCAGAAAAGAACAAAAAAATAATCTAACCATAGAAAGTTATTATGATGACAGGGGAGACCAAGACAAATTACATGTGCAAAAATACTTACAGCAGCTCTTTGTGGTGGCAAAATATTGGAAATTGAAGGGATGCCCATCAATTAGGGAATAGCTGAATAAGCTGTGGTATATGGATGTAATGGGATACTATTGTGCAATAAGAATCGATGAACAGGCAGATTTCAGAAAAGCCTGGAAAGACTTGCATGAACTAATGTAAAGTGAAATGAGCAGAACCAGGAAAATATTGTAGCCAGTATCAGCAGCATTGTGTGATGATCAACTATGAATGACTCAGCTCTTCTCACCAACACAATGATCCAAGACAAGTGCAAAGGATTCACAAAGGAAAATGCTATCTACATTCAGATAAAGAACTGATGGACTCTGAATGAAGATCAAAGCATATTTTTTCATTCACTTAATGATTTACGTTTTTTTTCCTTTTGATCTGTTTCTTTTTTCACAATTGTCATTAATATGGAAATATTTTTTACATGATGGCACATGAACATAAACTACATCAAACTGTTTATCATTTTCAGAAGAGGAGTGAGAGAGGGAAGGAGGGAGGAAGGGAAAAAATTTTGGAACTTAAAATCTTGTAAAAATGTATGCTAAACATTTTCTTGACATGTAACTGGGGAAAAAAGTAAAATATTATTTTTTAAAAAATAAAGGACCTATGATAAAAAATGCTATCCAGAGAAAGAACTGGTGAACTTTGAATGCAGAATGAAGTATCCTTTTTTTACTTTATTTTTCTCATGTGTATGTGTATGTGTGTGTGTTTTGGGATTTTTTTTTTCGGTCTATGTTTTCTTTTGCAACATGGCTAATATGGAAATACATTTTGCATGATTTCTCATGTTTAATCACTGTTTAATCAATTGCCTGCCTTCTCAAGGAGGATAGAGAGCTATGAAGGAGGAAGAGAATTTGGCTCTACTTCTGACTAATTTTCTTTTGCTGCTTTAAATCTTTCTAGTTTCCATTTTAGGACTATATTTATATCTTAGAAGGAGTTTGGTAAGATCTCTTCTTTTTTTTTGCAAACAGTTTATATAATATTGGAATTAATTTTCCTTAAATATTTAATAAAATCCATTTGTAAATCCATCTTTTTTGGGGGGTGTGGGAGAGGGTATAGCAGACTTCTTTTATATAATTTGTTCAATTTCTTTTTCTAAGATTTGGTCATTTAGATTCTCTATTTCTTGTTCTTTTAATCTGTAAATTTTATATTTTTTGTAAATATTAATTAATTTCATTAATTAACAATTTTATCTTTTTTATCAGACTGGCTAACATTTTACCTATTTTATTAGTTTTGTTTTAAAACTAGCTTCTAATTTTATGTATCAATGAAATGATTTTTGTTTTAAATTTTATCTTTAATCTTTATAATTTCCTTTTTTATGTTTGGGATTTTTTGATTTGTTGCTCTTCCAATTTTTTTAAACTGTAGGCTAATTCATTGCCTACTACCTGTTATTCCCTTATGAAATATGCCATTCTTTTTTGACAGAATTATAAAAGAGTTAGTTATTGGCTAAAGAAAGACAGGTTGTGTCCTGGATGACCTTTAAGAAAAAGTAAATAAATACTCTCTAGATACAACCACAGAGACCAGGCCAGGCAGAAGCTGCAAGGAATGTGACCTTTGGCAACAGAAAAGAGAGTGGATTATAGACTCAAACTGTTGACAGTTAATTCTGGTTCCACAAAGGACTCTTACAAATGATGAATAACAAGTAAACCTGTGTATCTAAGCAAAACATCAAACATAAATTGGAGTCCTACAGGTTAGAATATACCAGAAAAATACACAAAAGTGAATATGTTCTGCTGGAAGTTAGATGAGATCTTAGCTGAAACCAAGAGAGAGGACCAGATCTAACCCAAGGAAAAATTCTCTCTCCAACATTTCTAGGAAGGCCAGCTGGAAATCAAGGATATGTTGAGGAGCTGGCTTTTTTTACATATCTATAATTTCCAAAATCTTATTCTGTCTTCACTGGAGCCTCATACCTCTCTCCTCAAAAGCTTCCAAACCAACCCCACCCTTCACTCAAGCACAAAGAATTACCTAAGTATTTTGTTCACCAATTATAAGTCATAGCTCACCCATACAGAGGATGATGCATAGGATGCTTTTTTTTTTTTTTTTTTAAACCAAGCTTGGGTGGGAACTGGGATCACATAACTTCTGCATCTTTAGGGCTTTAATGAGGTGTTTTGGGGAGATCTGGCTTCCTTCTAACATGCTGCCATTGTAGCCAGAAGTCCCCAAAAGGTTATGATTATTAACTAGTCCCTTTTCATCTCCTTTTCTTACCACTGAACAGTGAACTTTACTGTTAATACAACTATCTAATATTTAATACAGCAATCTAAACACTATAAGTGAAATGTGGTTCTTCAATAGACTATAAAGTCTCAATAATGCCTTTAGCTTGTTACAGGACATAGTTAAGGATATGCAAAAAAAGGCAAAATTATCACCTTTATGCCAATGACTCCCAAATCTCTATTTCCAGCCCTAGTCTCCTGAGTTCCAATTCTGTATGATGAAATGCCTACTCGACATTTCGAACTAGATGTCTCATAAACATCTCAAAATTCAACATGTTTAAGCATAACTCTATCTTTCCCTCCAAGTCTTCTACTCTTCCAAACTTCCCTACTC